GCAGCCTTCTTGCGCCACTCCAAGGAAGCGGGCGCCGTCCCAGCGCGCGAAGCCGCGGAGGGTAGAAGAAGAGAAAACAACATAACCATTTACTGTTGGCGCTCCGCGCGGATTTCTGGGATCCGCGCGGGACCCCCGCGCGCCAGGGACGGCGCCGGAGGCGCCGCCGAGGGGGCCCAGCGCGGATCCAAAAAATCCGCGCGGGGCGCCAAAAGTTTGTGTGCACTGCGTTTTTGCCCTCCTTCGAGAGGGGCCACGGGCAGGCGAAGTGGGCCACCGTGGCGTCGCCGTCCTGCCAGTCGGGCACCAGGAGGTCAGACAGGGCCACGAGGGCGCACACGGCGAGGCGCGAGAGCAGCGCCGCCCGCCACACCGGCAGCGGCTCTCCCCCTCGGCGCTCCTCGCGCTCCGCGGCCTCGCCGGCGGGGCCGTCGTGCGGAGGGCGCTGCCGCAGGCGCATCGGTGCTCGCACTCAGGTCGGGCATGTCCTCCTGCAGGCGGAGTCGGGAGGACGGACGCAAAACGATAGCCGAACAAGAGTTCAGGAACAGTCGAAGCATCGGCTTCTGACCAGTTTCGAAGATCCCTCCTGCAGAGGGGCGCGCCCGACTTCATGCTTGCGCGTGCGCCCGCGCGCCGGCCCGCGGCCATCGGGGCAGGGGCCGAGCGGCCGCAGCTGGGGGAGCTGTGCCCCTTGCAGTAGGCGCACACACGATGAGATAGATCCTGAGGCAAGAGGCGCACTCTTGGGAGCACACTTCGTCTGTCCTCTCGAGGGTCCTGAGAAGCCCCAGACACCCGTGGGTCCCTGGGGCCATCGGGGACTCAGCGGCTTCCGTGGGGCACCGGCTTGCAGGTCGACGTCTTGCTTGATGCGCCCGCTGTACCATCCAGGGGGGGACCCATCGCGTCGACGATCTCTCGCAAGGGCCGCCGGGCCGCCTGCCTCAAAGAAGGGTATAGATCGGGACCACAGGCCCCCCAACAGGTGGCCGCTCTGCTGGAAGGCGGCGGCCCGCGCCTGAGCCAAGGCGCCTGCTGCAGGAGGCGACGGCGGGTCACGCGAGGGGGGCACCATGATGGGCATGTTTTCCACCACCACCACCATAAGCTGGAGGGGGAGGGGGTCCTCCTCCTCCTCCTCCTCCACCTCCTC